GGACTTAATTTATTCGTCGACCTGTGTGGCAGGCTAAACTTATATTATTTGAAGTAGTCGATGGTTGCGAATATTTTCATGATATATCTATCATAAGCTTTCACTATACCATGAATTCAACGTGATGGAAATGCAAGTAAGTTTCTCTTACGCGGTGTTTATGTCGCCGAATTATACTGCTGTTTTGTGGTGGACCAGACAATATACCAACTCAAAAATGATAATAGAGTTATTAAGTACAAGTGATAATGTTAATATATATCAGTTAAATGTTGTAAACACAATCACGAATTAATGTAGAACGAGAGGTATGTGCTTAACAATGTATTTGTTAGCAGTCAACAGTGTGTCATGCTATGAGGCTGCACAACGGAAGTAAAGTGTGTTAAAGGTCATACACTTAAACAACACGTACAATCATTTAATGATAAATGTACATGCAGTGAAAAGTTGACAAAATAAATACAAATAACATCAAAAACTATTTACAAAATAAGCTTGTCAGGCATATCTCCACAGTTTTGCCGGTGGCGGAAGGTCATTCAAAAGGGCTCCAATTCTAAGACAGTGTAATAATCAGATTTTGAACTGACATCACGACCTATTGTAATAGTCGATAGGATAACGAAATTTGTAGGCCGCCCTTTTAAAATGGAATGTACAATAGTTTTATAAGCGATTTAATTGACAGATTTTGCTTCAAATTGTCGTATGAAACAAGAGACAGGTAAGCTATTCGGTTGAAGTAGGATCCATGCCAGATTAAAATGAACATGATCCATTGTTGATAAAAACGTAAAGAACTTTTGTTACGTCTATTTACCTTGCGCGCCTTCTCCTCACTGCTTTTATTCATTCGAAGTAGGCAGCATCACGCAATAGACTTGGCGGCTGGTAGAACACTTGAACGAATAGATCGAGGGATGTATCCCAAACGTTGGCGTGATATTGTTTGGGTAAGGATAAACAGTCTTTATTTGTGTATAATGTTCTCACATGTCCTGACCAGTTTCAGCTAAAATTCGAGGGTTGTTTGTAAGAAATCATGACGTTATTTGTCAATCATCCTGCAAAGTTAAGCTGCCTCGACAGGGTTGAATCTGTTAGAGCGATTGAAAAAGCTTATAAAAGGGGGGTTTGTCTGTAACTACACCGTTTGCGCTGAAGATGTATCCAACACATAAGTCAAGATTGGATTGTAGTGGTATTGGATCCTAGCAACAATCATCAAAGCTGATCATGAGATAACTTGGAAAATAAACTTTCAATATGTAACACAAAGAAAGGGTCAATAATGGTGGACGCGGTAACATTCATTCGAAACCGATCGGTCGGACAGTATGGCTTGGCATTGTAGGCGTGGTCATATTGATGCAAAAAGATTGCTATCCACTTTAAATAAATTGTTCTATATCCAGCCTAAATATGTTCTTCATCATATATTGATGACTGTTACAATACGATGATTCAGTGTAGACAATGATGTGACTTCCATGTATAGATTACTCAGTTACATCATGAAAAGTCTACAATTTAAGAATTAAGTTTATTATAAGAGTAGTACTAATATCCAAGTAGACCATAATATAACGTAGATCAGAATTCAAATAGCTAAGGTGTTTCGTTGTATGCAGTAACATTTACCAGTCCATCGACGTTTAGGATTAGGCATTGAATTGGAAAATTTATTTGATCGACACCTTTTTGTTTTCGGGGACATCTCACATCATTTTACTGCAAGTATCGAAATTTCTCTACCTGATATAAAAAGTTTAGCTAAGGATAAGGAGGAATAAATAGGATGAAATCTAACTGTATTGGCAACAAGCTCCTCCAAACGATTCACTCGGATGGTCTTCATAAACCATCTAGTTGATGAAGAATAAGACAGAAGAAAGGCGTGTATATAATCTACGATGAGTTTTAACATAAAATCAAGCGTGCGATATAGAATATTACTAAGGTTATAGAAAATGTGAAACTGAAAAGAAGTGATTCATGTTTATAGAAGGTAAAGCCTGTAGTTAGAAGTCGATTGCGAGAGAAAAGAACTTAGAAACACAGCAAATAGCCCTAATTAAGGTGAATGCCTTACTTCATTCGTTCAACCATTTCAGTCTATTAAAGTATAAGACATTGATGATATTTCGGAGAGGTGGATGAACAGTATGATTCATCACATTCTTTTTTCCCTCAGTCATGGAGGGTTGTATAGAAAATTCAGCTTATTATTCGCAGGATTTCATTAGTAGTATCAAGTTAGGCACGCTAATTAAAGGGACAGTGGTATTTTTCCTCGCTGAGTAAATTCTATTGTTTTGATCATTTATTATGTATCAAGACTACTGCTTTCAGTTTAATTGAATTTATTTCAGTTAAAGTATTCGATTACAGTATCGTTTCTGCGTCCATATTAGTCTGTCGTCGGTGTTTCAAAAGGGCAGTGATGTTGTACTTTTTATGATTATCCTCGCTTTTGTGTAATTATTACATCAAAAGCATTCTTGGTCTAAATCAAAGTACTTTGGTTAAGGTTCGAAATCTTGCTAAAGTTTGTCTCGTGGCACCCATTGCTCATCGACTGACACTGTATTAATACTGTGATCATACTGTGTTTTACACCTTAATCTGACCAGAATGGTTGGTAGTACTCACAAGTGTGGACAACCAAACTGTTTGTTCCCTGCGAAGGAATGTAGTGTGATGAATGCAAAAAGTGGTTCCATAAGATGTGCACCTGTTTAAGTTCCACCGCATACAAAAGATGTTCGAAGCCTAACTCACACTGGCTTTGCATATTTTGCTGTGCAAATAAGACGCTAATACTGCAGGAGGCGATGAGCCTATTGGTTTTGGCCCGTAAGAAGAACGGTGGCGCATGCGCTGATAACACGAGCACTGACAGTGACGAATGTGTCAGTGCAGTACGTGCTGTTACGAGACGCCTTAAACAACCGACTGTGACTGACAGAAAAGTGAAATCTCCGTTAACATTAACGACGGGGGTAATACCATCTGGTACTGACATTGGTAACCATGCACCCCTAGTGGAAGCTGAAGATCCGGATAAAACCGCCACTGCTCCAAATAGTCACAGTGTCCTGAGGGGTGAAAAATGGACTACAGTACGGAAAAAAGGAAATGAAAAGAAAAAGGCTGTAGGCAGTACGCAGGTGGTTAGCAAGTCACTGGTGGACTCTCATTGTGAGTCAAAAAATGCACTACCAAAATCTGATAGTAAGAGAGAAACCCACCCTGGCGTGACTGAGAAGAAGAATCTAATATCATCGACTATTATTGTGAGCAAATTGCTGGAGTCAGACGACCCTGATCCTAAAATTAAACACGCATGATTTAGAGAAGCTGGGAGAATATATACGTAGTATCTTACCAGATAACTCTAAAGGAGTTCAGGTCAAAAAACTGGTTAGAATAGGCAAGAGGACTGAGGACAATGTTAAACCCCGACCATGCAGACTTCTTAAGGTAATCCTAGGATCGGAGAAACAACGATCGGAATATTCCTGTGGATGTGATCTTCATAGATCTAAGTAAGGCCTTCGATAAAGTCTCCCACTCTGGTCTTAAATTCAAGCTGGAACGTTTGGGAATCCATTATACACTCGTAGATTGGATAAGTAACTTCCCCATGACAGGAGACAAAGGGTAAGGGTAAATGAGGCTCTCTTCTCGTGGGAACCTGTAGAAAGTGGAGTTCCACAAGGTGCAATCCTCGGTCCTCTCCTCTTTTTACTTTATGCAAATGAATTACCAACTATAGCAAAATCATCCGTTCTACTCTTAGTTGATGACATAAGAATTTAATGATCCATACACAGTATGTCGGATACGATAGTATTACAGAATGATCTTAGCTCATTGGTGTCATGGTTGGATAGGTGGTCACTAGAAGTAAATCCTAATAATAGTGTAGTTATGCAAATAAATAACTATGATGAATCGTATCACCATACAATATATGGATTCGTGCTACCCAAAGTAAGAAACTATAAAGATTTAAGAGTCATATTAGGGAGTGATCTCAAAACCACTAATCACTGTAAGGCTACTGCTGTGGTCTGTTCGTAGGTCTTTCCAGTATTTAGATGATGAGATTTTTAGATTATTATACCCGATTTATGTGTAACCACATTTAAAATATAGGATTCAAGCAGCGAGTCTTTGTTTCAAGTATGAAGCATAGATGGTGGAAAGAGTCCAACGACGAGGTACTAAGATGGTACAAGGTCTGTCTGGCCTATATTATGAAGACAGACTGAGACACCTTAACTTATTTCCTTTATCTTACCATGGAGTACGGGGTGATCTATTGTTGGCTCATCGTATACTGAACGATGACTTTGGTACTTACATATCTTATCTCTTACTTCCGTCTAGGACTGATTATTTGAGAGGACACTCCAAGAAATTCCGAAAACCGAGATCAAATCATTCACGTCTGGAGTTTCGCTTCTCGCACCGAGTAGTGAATTACCAGAATTCTCTACTGCAACACGTAATATCAGCACCCTCTGCTAATATATTCAAAACGAGATCGGACGTCCGCCGTATTACAAACTGCAAGGATTAATATGGGTCGATAGACCTCCTATCCTTATTACTGAAGACTGAAGACTGATCAAGTTTGTAGCGGTTACTCGAGTCTTGAAGTTAAGGAATTGAAGAATTGAAACCACCTTTCGATAAACCTCTAGATTTTTTGACATAGATAAACACTACAATTTTGAAAATGACAAGGAGCGAGACTTTCCTAAGTAACTTATTAAATGTTGCTCTTTGGACAATGCTTGTTTAAGTGCACCATCGCTAGGGGCAATTCGTTACTTGCCCTGCCGCTAAGACTTTGGATACGTGCCAGTAGCGGTAATTCTCGGTCTTGCAGTTTTGTAATTCAAATAAAATGCATTTTGTTGTTATATTATAAGTGCTATATTGAGTAAAGTGGTCACGGTAGTTGAATAAATTTTTCTTTCTCACAGATGAATGGGGAAATCGAACTGGTAAGAAGTTCTACCGTTCAAAAAAGCTTTCTGAAGTCACCATCATGTAGACCAGCTCTCCAAAGTGCAGACCACCTCACTTCCTCAGACCTTTCCTTGTATAGTACGACCGTTTCTCGAATGTCAGAAGTCGTACGCTCTGATCTCGATCATCTTTCTGATATTGGAATTGGAAGTAACACTACACCTGAAACTTTTGAGAACGCTCGAAAAGATCGTGACTTATCCCGTAATCCCCCAAATAGCTCTGGCATAATTTTAACACCAGTGTCCTGTCAAGGGTGTCAAGTATCTACACCTTTAACAGAAGTTTGCGACTCACTGTCTCTTGGATCACAATTGACTAGTTCTTGTGTAACTAGCTCTGATGATCTGAACAGAAACCATTTTCTGTCTTTAATAAAATCAAACTCGGAACATTTGGACAAGACCTCATCGGCGTCAGATGTAGTTGATTTCGGGAAACTTGCGTATGGTCGCCTTGATGGACAGTTGTGCGAATCAGAATATCGAAATAAACTAAACAAAACACATAATTTGACTTCTATTGTTGACCAGTTAACAGATCCTACTTGCTTGCGTGCTAATAATCTCAGTGCAGATTATCGTTTAATGAGAGCAGCATTAGAATCTGGTGTTACAACTGATACGCTTACAGGTATTAATCAAAAAAGCGACACGAAGTGTATTCAAGCTGAGTCGGACAGTTTAGACATTTCACCTGAATTCGGAGTACCAAGTAATTTATGGAACCACCGGAATTGTGTAGGGGTTACTTCTGCAGACCATAGCTTCTCATTTGCCGGGGACACAATTACGTCTCTTATGTCTAACACAGAAATAGATCAAGATAGTGTTTTAAATGATGGTCATTGTAGTAACATTTTCCCCACTGTTCACAGCAACACTCCCACTACTGCGACTGTTGCAGCTAAGCGCCCGATCACTGGAGCTCATCAAACTGCACGTTACCCTGCAGTTAATAAAGGAGGTATGTGGTCGAGTAATTCTAATGGGCTGTCAAACTCTGCACTTGGATACATGGTTTCCAATGCATGGAGCAGCAACGGCACCGGTGTTTCAGCAAAGTTGGGTAGTAGTCTTGTCACTGATTCGAATCCTCCTACAGTTTGTGATTTTCCTGGAAATGAAGGTAATACGGTTTCGTGGTCTCAAAATTCGTCAGTTCATCAGACACTTCACAAACCAAACGTCCAGAACATTCCAAATATGGTCGGACCTGTGGGTTTTGGTAGTGGAATGGCTAACGGTTCCTTAAATCGGACAGCCGTGTCCGTGGGTCTTGTATCAGTATCTACAACCGGCGTCAGTATTACCAGTAACAATAAAGTAAATGAGGCAGGTCTTTCAAATATATATAGTATGTTTCCTAAGCGCCCCCAACACCGAATGATGGCACATTGGCAGCAACAGCAACAACATCATCAAAATTCACAGCAAGTACCATTAGGCAAAGGTCTTATGAACATTGTCACAAGTAGTATTCAACTAAATGGTAATCGTGGTAGTTTAACTGGAGTTAATTCCACCCTCTCAGCTCTACCGAATGGTTGTGAGGATTCCGGTGTGAATAATAGTGCTGGAAGCTTGAATAACCACTCTATCATCCAGTCGCTAAACAGTGTTGGGTCATCATCGTCTGCAAATAGTTCACTAGTTCTGTGTTCTTCTGGAGACTCTTTCACAAATACCTTGTCATTCAACAGCCCAACGTCGGAAAGTTCCTTAGATAGTTTCAAATACGGGTTAGATCAACAGCTTATGGAAGTTATCAAATCTTTTGAAATCAGTAGCATTGGAGGTTCTAATTTAGTTCCTTCGAATGCAAATACCACATCTATGGGAGGGATCGATGATTTAACATTGTCATCTAATTTTGGAGAGGTAGACCAACAAATACCTGGTTTAAATTCTGCAAACCAAATGCCTGTCTTAGGCTCATCGTCGATACACAACTCAACACCTATGATAAATGGTTCAAATAACCAAAGTTCAGGTTTTAATAGTCTTTCTAGCTACAACGGGAGTTCAATGATGGGTTCAGCTGCAATGACAAGCCCATATTCTATGTTTGCAAATATTTTTACTCGTGAAGAAGGATTTTCACGCAAAGTATTCGTTGGAGGTCTCCCACCTGATATAGACGAAGGTATGTCAATATGTATGAGCTGTAATTTTTTGCTTTTCGTAGGTTATTGATGTAAATTACTTTATTATGTTCGCCACAGCTTAGTATGGGAACTCGAACTGATGTACGTACGTACGAAGTTTTACGTTGTTACTGACTTACAGCTTGGTTCAAAAAATGGGAGACTGTTCAGTAGATTATTCATGTAAAAGTTTATATTCCTTATCATACATAGCTTGCTTTTTCATATGGCGTTGTATATATTAATTAGGTGCGTCGTTGCTGTTGCTCATTAGCTTAGGTACTCTAATTTCATCCAAATTCAAACAACCACTTGATGGGGGAAAAGATGGTTGGGGATTACCATTAACTCAAAAATCCTTGTCTATATTTCGGCAAATAAGCTTTTGTGGCTGGTGAGTGTTGCCACTATTATTTTTTGTAATCAGTCGAAGTACAAGCTTTTTTTCTTAGTTAAGATGCAAACCTTATTAAGGAGGTAATGACGCATTACGATATGGATTCTTTGATTTCCTTCGATCCTTCTTAGTCTCAAACACCTTTACTGGTATCCTAGATACTAGTTTAATACCCAAAGCCTTAAATATTCAGCTTTGACTTGTCTATTATTTTAAGAGTAATTTCTAGACATTTGCTTCTTTCACTTCATGGATGGTCTAATATCCATTGCCAGCTACTAGTTTAATATTTAGATTGTAGTCTCATGGTTTATATACTCAGACTTTATTCTGTAACCGGCCATTTTTTCCTGTATTTTAAACATCAAGTTGTTTTCTCTTATTTTACTACATAACTAGAATATCAAGAGTAGATAGTCGAAAGTAAATGGATAAAGATATAAATTGTAGTTACTCTCGATCACTAGTTTAAACATTGATTCCAGGATATATGTATAGTGAAGATTTTTGAGGTGTTCGAAGAAAAGTGCAATCATTATTTTAAACACCAAGACACTACCGACCTGTTTATTGAATCCGGCAGTCATTGCTGCTTCGTTCACTCACGATATCCTTGAATTTATACAGAACCTCAGCTTTTTAGGATGGTAAAGTCTGTGAATTCCATCTATTTGGCACTTTATGTGAATTTATTTTATCAGTACCAAAAACACGAATCGTAGATGATTTTGTTCGATGTAACTCCTATTATTATGACTGTTTTGGGAGGTCGTTACTTTGTGATGGATTGATAATGCGAAAATTTATTGTGCATTGGGGTTCTGAAAAACAAAAATTCTAATTGAGTTATTTGACCGTTAATATTGTCGGTTGTATAATAGCACTTTCTGAAGAATTGTAAGGCTGGTAAAGGGCTAAAATTCATCTTACAAGTTAACTGTTGGAAAAGTCGGGTATTCTGATTACTTGATTAGAGGTTAAGGGGAACTTATTATCTCAACATTTATATAGTTTATAGGTTTAAGCGTTTTCTTGAACGAATATGTAATTGGTCATTGATTGTAGTATATCATCTCGACGACGATGTCTGAACCGTTTGTCTAGGGACGCCTCGTTGAATTTAATTACCAAACTCCTTCAGTATCAGAGTGATTTCCTATGAAAGCGTGCTTGTCACCACTACACATAGACTCTATTCAGTGCTATACACTAAACCCCAATTATAATTCCATATATATTTGGTGAACATGGCAAAGTTTAAGGAAAGGATTTTAGGTTTCAAACAGTTGAATTCCTACTGAATTAATCGACGTATGTTCTGTTTGCTAACTGAATGAGGAAGAAGACGATTAATGACTGAATATAGTAATAGTACTAGTCGGGGAAATGTTTGTGTGCAATGAAACATCTTTAAACTTATTTATCCTTAAGAACATTAGTATAAATATTAAGTCATAAATCGTTGAATGGATCTTTTGAATACATCAAGAAATTCGCTGTGTATGTACACTTACAAAGCACTTTATTTACTGGTATTAAGAATCTTTGGAGTCATTATTATGTTACTTGATCACACAACTGCGTTAAACTTCGATCAAGTCAAAAATACCTTTTGTTTGGTCTGATGTGTAGAGTTTCAGAATGCTCAAAGATGGGCCCTAAAGAAAACAGCATTTTTAAAAAATGTCAGTACTTCAAATTTTTCGCTCAACTTAGCGCGAGTAATATAGTTCAAGCACTAAGATTGTGGAAGCTTAGAAATTACTTTAGCTGAACGACGAAGCAGGAACATCTCCATGTAATTGATACCAAGCATTATCTCCAAGGTGAAGAACTAAAGTAAGATAAAAACTTACCAGTCGAGTCAATGTACAATAGTTAATTGATTTTAAAGTATCTACTATTTTAATTGTCTTGGCCGTATATACTACGTAGTTGTATGATAAATTGGATTAATCACATTAATTTTGACACAGTTTCCAAACATATTCAAAACGGTAAAATTATCTAGTGATCAGTTATTTATAAAGTCAGGGATCGACATCCACGAAAGATCGCGAAGTGGATTAACTGTAGTGTTTGTGCATTGTTGTAAGTTGATTTCCAATGATAAATAATTTCTAACAGTAGTATCGGTAATTTCCTCTTAGTTATACGGAACTATCTTTACCCTGGCTGTCATCCTACATCGCTATTAACTCAATAAAAAAATTTTTCGATTCTCTTTTAGAGGAAATAACTACTGCTTTTCGTCGATTTGGCCCTTTAATAGTTGATTGGCCCCATAAAACTGAAAGTAAGGCATATTTTCCACCAAAAGGTAAGGTGTACCTCATCCTTTTTCCTCTCCTTTAAAAAAACTTCATTTAAAGTTTGAGAATAGTAGTTCCCAGGGATTTAATTAGTCATTATTTAATGAAAGACTAATAACTATCATGAATAACTCTTCAAGCTTTTGGGTCGTTGTAATCTTGGTCTCAGACAAAAATATCTTATTCTTTAGTAAGATTTCTATCAATTCTAATTAGCTAAGAAATTGGTAGACGCATTGTTTATCGCACGTAAAATCAATATTTGAAGAGAAAATAAACGTTATATTTTAAGTAATACTTTGATGCTATATATTCAGTCTTTCCAAATAAGTCACAATCCATATAAATGGGATTCAGTGAAGTTTTGTTTCACTTTGATGACATGTTACGGTTTGTTACTCTTAGTCCTTATGAACATAACTTATGTCTGAATTCAGTGATTAGAATCTACATCATTCATTGGCGTAGAGTGAACTAACTAGTTTACACTAATTATTGATTTTTCTCTAGATAAAACTAGCTCTCATTGATTAAAAAAATTAACTCAATCATTTTAGGTTCGTGAAACAAAGGTCCCGCTTCATATTCGTTGATTTTCATAGTTCTGTACGCTAACCTGTACTACTTGCTGGATTTCGATCTGTAGACCTATACCATTAAAGAACAACTCATTAATATTAGTATGTCAGCACTACCTTCACAGATTACCTGTTTATTCTAAATTTCTGTTTGTTTAGGCTATTGTTTTCTGCTATTCCAAGATGAACGATCTGTTCAAAGTCTTATTAATGCTTGTATTGTTGATGAAGGAAAATACTATTGGTGCGTATCATCACCTACGATGAAAGATAAACCCGTAAGTTCTCATAGTGATACATATTATCTGAACTTCGTTCGTTCGGTTACACAGTTGTTTCGTCATCCACGAACAGTGTTTCGAAGACGAATATGATCAAATGCTAGTCACTTTTCATATGTTTTTTAGTTTCACAATTCCTCAATAGCTTGATTTGACAATGTACGGCTCGATAATCATAGTCATAAATGTTTATCGACCAACCGATTCATTATTTTGTCATCTGTATTTTCCCTAATTATTTGTTTGTCAGTCGAAATCTGGGGATGAATTGTCCACATATTTTTATTACTTGTTCAAAAGATCTTTCGTGGATTCTCATAGTTTAATGACTATTAAAGATCTACAGTCTATCAGGATGGTATATGTATGCGCATAAGTGAAGTAACTTGGTTAGATACCTTAGAGTTACTGTATCTAAAAATAATCCGTAAAACCCGTTGAATTTTGTCTTCATGGATAATTTTTTTTAGAAGTTAAGATGTACAAAGTGCACTAAAGATTACTTTTATTTGTGTGGTGCGTGTGCCGAAACGAAGGGTATCAGTCGAATTGGTAGCTATTTTATTTAGTACTGTATACTCTTCGACATATGCGTCATTCGATTGGTCGTAGATACATTAATTGAGTCGAATTCTTCAGTAAACTTGTCTAAGCTATTCGAGTTTTAACCCTATCTCTTTGTGACATGAAAATCCTTTTATTTTCGGTTTTGAAATCTATCTGAAGTGGTTAACTTCATGACGTAACCTTCACTTTCCATCTAAAGTACTATTATACTGAACGAGGACTTAGGTGCGGAAAACCAATTAATTGTTTAGTATAAAATTACAATGTCTTCATAAAATATAAATACCATACATTAAGTACTTTATTTTCACATCTTCCATCAATTGTCTCTCACAAACTGTATCGTTCGTTCATTCCTGTTGTTATTGTATTTACTCTCTGTCTACATTCCTGTTCTCTTCAATTCGATCTTCTCAACCTTCTGCCAGGCATTTCACTTCTGATTGGTGTTACATACTACTTATGCTTATCAACATAAGTAGCATACACCTTATTATATCCAGGTCGAAAACTAGTGTCTCTAGTATGGTTTACTTCATGCTGTTTTATCTAAAATTATGTATGACAAGAGATGTCTAGTCAAATTACATATTTTATTGTTGCATACATTCTTTTCACAGCAAAATATTCTGTTGGTTTAAAACCTCAGATGTAAGTTGGTTTTTGAGATTCCACGGAATTTGGAAATAACCTTTATCGTATCGCGCTGTCAAATAAAATCAAACATTGAGAATCAACTTCCTAGACATATTTTTTCCACCTTGTTGTCAAAATCATTAGTATGATTCACTCACTTCTCTGAACTACTTAATCAAAATCTTTAGTTCCTTGATATACTATTTTATGGTTAAGCTATTCCATTTGGTTCCAGCAACTAATATTTCCAATTGTTAAGGGAAGGTGTGGTTGTGAAATTTTCACCTTACGGCATTAGTACAAGGAATCCAAAATCTAACAATTAATCAGTCTAATCAATAAGGTTATTGAATTTAATCTACTTCTCGTATCAAATAGATCTAAACAAATTCATCGTTTCCTTCTAATTTGCATCAAGTTGGATATGTCTATGTGTTATTTCTGAATAGAAAGATTGTATTGTGGTTAGTTGTTTAGAGGTAGATTGGTTATACGTTTCTTGAACAAACAAGTCAGTTGCAACGCAAAACCTGCTACGTATGTACGTTAATTCAAGGTGTCCTACCCCATTAGCACAGAAAGATAAAATTTCTGGCCAAATCCTAAAATAGTAGAGATAGTAACATTATCAGTTGTGACTGAAGAGATTAGAGATCGAAGATACTATTCAAGAAGAAAATACAAATAGTGAAATAAAGTTATGAGAGATTCAGAAGCTCAGAATCTGGAGGAAGACAAAAAATGGATGCATCTGCGCCATTGCAAATGATTTTGAGCTGTCATTTAAAGTCTCTAATCACTAGTTACAATAATCACGCGGACCCCTTTAAAACAAGTGCCTGTTTACAGTTGTCTATTAAGTGGTCTTCACCAGTTCACTTAAACAAACAAATTTTTCTGTTTCATGAAACATCACAGTTTTGCATCAATCTTGTTCAATTGAATTTCGCATCAGTTCTCTGCTGTTACGTTCAATTTTCCAAACTACTGATTCTAATGGTAACTCAACTCTTGTTAGCGTTTTCGGTAATTCGTTATCAATATTACCAGAATTCGTTTATTTTCCAAAAGGGAGTTATCAAAGGTACCTTATGAATCATGCTATTTAACTGGTTGGTCTGAAACACTCAAATTTTTGTTTTCAGTTCTTTTAATTACACTTGTACTCGCTATTTTAGCGTTTGCGTTTTATTCTCTTAACCATTAAAATTTCCAACCGACATTGCTAGCTTCTAGTATTTCATGTTGTCAAACAATTAACCTCCTTATTTTAAACAAGGTTCAATCAATGTGGGATCTTTAACTCGGCCCTAACTTTTTGTTAGTTTTGACTTCAATATGTATGATTATTTCTCTGCTCATTGTTTTCTACAACTTTGTTATTCACTTTATGAAACTGCATGTTTGATAATATCAAGTAAACAAGAGTAGAGTTACTTTTTAATTGTTCACATTGTTTGCTGTTTTATTTGTAAGCTCTTTTTGAAAAAATCTTAGGTTCAAATTCGACCATGGAACTTAGCGGACTCCGATTTTGTCATGGATGGTTCACAACCATTAGATCCTCGTAAAACAATTTTTGTTGGAGGTGTTCCACGTCCACTTAGAGCTAGTAAGTTAACCAATGAGTTGACAATATAATCTTATCAAAGTGTGATAGATATTTCTTACTAATTACCATTATTATAATATAAAAAATATGGTTTCTAGCTTGTTTCAACTGTGTGTCAACCGGATATTCCTTTTATCTATGATCTTTCCACATGTATACTTCATAAAAATCACATTTTATCCATTTGAGTTTTAAAAAGCTATCTTCAACGAGTAATTCTTATATATGTAGTGTTCACTAAATGACTACCATTAATTGAAGGGAACTACGAAACCAAGGACAACTATTGTTTTTTTCTATTGATTCTCTAGCTGCTATCAATCTGTGACATAATCAATCTTCAGATTGCACAAATCTCTACACAATATCAACTATGAAAATAATTTCATTGATTGTTTCGTTCCCTATTCTTTTTCGAAGTGACTTGTAGTAGACAGTATTGAATTAACAGAAATTCATTAAGTTTGTCTATTCACCAATCAGTCTGTCTTTTTTGTGCATATACACAATATCAAACTAACATTTTCATATCCGTATCAAATATTCACATAAGTTATTCAAATTACATATATTGCAGTGAATCATAGTTGTATAAAAGTCTAAACGCATTTTGGATTTTTAGATAAAACCGACAGAAGAATCTATATGTAGGCCAACCATGTTCTAATTATTCTCCTCCTACAAGTCCACAAAGAGCCTTGCCCAAGTGTGCAATTTTTACTCGAAAACTGAGTCACATTTTAATTTATATAATTTCCTAGACTTTGTAATCGCATACACAGTCCCATGCCTTACACATTTTACTATGACAATTATCTATTAGGTGAGTTGATGAAGAGTTGACTGTCTATAGTGTTCTAAAAGTGTACAAATTCAGATTTTTAGCGGGAATCATCATGTGAACTTATAGACAGAAAGTAAACTAGAAACAAAAACCATGTACAGAAACAAATCCATTGTAAACTTGTTCTTGTTATGCAAAAAATATTTTTCGTTCAGAAAACATTCATTACTTATTTAACGAGTAGGTTAATATGAATGATACTAATATCGATGCTCATAAGGAGTAACGTAATGAATACATGGGATATCAATTCTACTGGTTATCCAATGAACATAATAACTGATAATTAATGGTCCGTCCAGTAAGTTTGCTAATTGAGGCACTTGGTAAACAAAAACCAAGAAATTCATTTTATGTTTAGAGTTGTATAGGGAAGTAACGTATTAAAAGAAACATCAGTTTTCAAGTGAGTCAAGCATTTCAATGAGGACGAAAGGGATGTTGTAAGTCATAGACGACCGTTAACTTTGTGTTGGTGAAATCGTCGAATGTATGCGATCTCTGATGTTTTCTGATCACCAGCTTACTGTCCAAATGATTCCTTATGAGAAGTGCATATGATTGAAACAAAAATATTGAAAAATTAAACCGCGAAACTATGTGCAACTGACTTTCAAGGTCTCAATAATGGAGACCGAGGTAGCACAAAAGTATTACCTGAAGTAAATAGCATTTTACGAAACGGATAAGATTAATGCACTCTAAATCTATAGTAACTACTTGTAGCCTACATATTTTCTGATCCAGTTTTTGCATTTTTATGGCAAAGTGCATTTAAATAGGTCTGTCACTTTTGACAATATTATAATTATTATACAACCAAAAACACTGTAATCTTTTCCTTAAAATGATTTATTAAATTAACTAATAAAGTCTTCTAAATTTCACACAATATAGTATTAATATATTTCCTAAATGGAAACCGAAATAAATATTTTAAAATTTTAAGAAACTAATAAATATAAAATATTTTAGTTATATTTGACCCATATTTAAAAATTAAGGTGAAAGAAAAAACGAAAACTCCTTTTCTTGTTTGTTTATAAAAAGGATATTTTCATATATCGATTTACCATTCATCCAACTGCATTCAGTCACTTTGAAACTTCATTGTTATTAATAATTTTGTATATATATATATATATATATATATATATATATATATATATATATATATATATTCGTTTCCGTCCCAGCCTACATGATTCTCTGCCTATTGGATGGATTTTTTTCTCCTCACTTGTCTTGTCTCTGTGAACAGTTTCAAATCCCCTCCTGTTTTTGGCATGACCTGAAAATGACCTTACTTGTAGACAGAAGTTTACTTTGCTTCGTTTCTCTTTTTGACCTTAAAACAGTTTTTTCGTTTTTTCTCAAGCAAGAAGCTTAGTCATTATCTTTTATACAGTATTTAATTCATTATTATTTTTTATCCAACTGACTATATGGAAGTAATCTGAACAAAGAGAAAATATACGTTATTTCTAATTCCCTAAGGATACATCCTCATATATATATAATCTTTAACCAAGTTATAATGTTGCTGAAATCTTTTACACTATATGTTTCTAATCTATCAATTGTTAATCAAATCACGATTGGGTTACTACATATTAGCTGTGTTAATCTTCAACTCCGAAATAAAATACCAGTACGCTGATTATAGATAAAACCAGGCAACTACTCTTTGTACATGAAAACTTGTTTTTAGTTAAGCCTGGAAAATAATTACCGAAGAACAAATAAAAAAGAGAGGAATACTGGTTTCATCGTGAAAACAAGGGAAAAAATTTCGGAGATAATTGTTCACTACAATAAATATTATGTAGAAATATATTCCAACAACCATGTCTCGTTTAATATACTTGGATACGAGTGGCATATTTTTATGTTCGTGCTGGTTGCCTTGACTAGAGTATTTAAGACAGTTATTTCAGTATGCAATTTAGTGGTTGAAAATAGGTTGCTTTTAATCACTATCCATCAAAACAATGCGTTTAAACATTTCGGTTTTCGGTCTTCTTTAGCTTCCTACAAAAAACAAGCAATTAAATTTTATTGCTTTTTGCTAACCCTCATTTATACTCGCATAGTGCTGTTTAGTGAAGTAAGCATAAATTCAACCCACAATAATTTTTTACTGTTTTCAGTAGTTTAAAGTTTTTACAGTGTTCAATATTTACGATAACTAATTAGCTTCGAATAATTTCAATTTTTGTATGTGACAATATTGTTACGTTCATTCATTTATTTTTGTATATCCTAGTAATTAAAAATTGACTCTCAGTTTTAAAGTCAGTTAAATAATCACTTGATTTGTTTCATTTTAAAGTGTCTAGCTCTTTGATAAGTATCTGTCTTGAATTAAAGTTATAGAGTATTTATAATCTAAATGTCAAATACTGAGATAATCAAGCCTTAACATTTATCTTAGCTTGTACGTCATAATCTTTGAACGATCCTACAATTTATACCTCTCTTTTTGTAAAATATAGCGTAAATGGCAAGTTTCCGAAAGTAAAGTTTGTAGTGTAGATTTAAACAAATGAAGTGAAGGCTCATGTATTGACATCATCCTAGAAAAAACATCATTGTCAATATCTGCATTTTCTTTTTGTGGTTATCTACCAGTTTCGTTTTGGAAATAAGAGTATAGTTCAGTGAAGATATATATGCTCGGCAGTTTCCTTCTCAGAGTTGTTCATATATATATATATATATATATATATATATATATATATATATTCTTTTCGACAACGATTAATGGAAGTAAAATAAACATTAAGTTTATTATCCATATTAAGAGATTGAATCAAAAGTGAGTTAAGAATGTCATAAAATTTAGAGAAAGAATTGTGGTTGCCTAATATAGTAAGATAAATTTTGAAAAGGAATCCTATTCTAAAACAACAGTAAGTCTGTATGAGTTAAGGGTCTAACCGTGCGGTAGAGAGAATGATTTATTAGATTTTTTTGCAGAATAAAAAAAAACTAGAAGTCAGCAAAACGGAATAGGGATTCAATTAGTTAAAAATTTTAGGTTAAGTTCACAGAAAGTAAATAGGTTAGCTAAGTTTCTTTTGTACATATGATACTGGTTTTGCTGTGTATAGAGACGAATTTAGTAATACATTGAGGAAGCAAAGATACTGCTTTTCGTATGTTTCTGGTTTTCCTGTAGAGAACTTGGATTGGCGAGTCTGCCTTGATCATATGGTCGCTTGTAAGGTTTCCTACAATCGTTCTTCTGATACAAACACTGTTACCCCGCTTGCCAACAGAGTTAATGTTCCTGAACTTTCTTGGTTGAATCGCTCAATCAACGACCTTTGCACGTTAATCGACAGGAACATAAGCATTGGTAGATGAACGTTGAAGAGGTTAAATTCTATTAATTTTCCTTTGAGTTGTCAGTAGATTAACTAGAGAACATTATTCTGATGGTTGCTGCAAAGTGTGTTTCGATGATGTTTCATATTTTTCCTTTTAAAATATCGGAATTTGCGTCACGTTTAAAGTGAATCATGCACAATGGCTTAGGTGCAAAGACTTCAGATTCTTTGAGAAGTCTTGACTCTAAATTTTTATTGATAGATCGTGCTATTAATATAATATTTAAATCTCCATTTATGAAGTAGGGAGTTTAGATTTGTCGTAATAGTAAGGTGAGAAGTGCGATGTATATCCGAATGAAAGTAGCCTGTTCGTTTAAACCCAATTTTGTTCCATGATGGTTATTTTTCGTTTATTCAGAGGTTTTGCTTTCACTTTTAAATAGTCGAACTTGCCCTAATAATGGATCGCTTATATGGAGGTGTTTGTTATGCTGGCATAGATACAGATCCAGAATTGAAATATCCTAAAGGTGCTGGTCGTGTCGCTTTCTCAAATCAACAAAGTTACATCGCTGCAATTAGTGCACGATTTGTGCAATTACAGCATAATGAAATTGATAAACGAGTAAGTTTATGGAATTATATATATATATAATTTAAACCTTTGCCTACAATTTTATTCAGGATTGTTAATAGTACTGTATCTTTTTCCAGAAGATTTGTTTTGATTACGAGCCATTTAAGATAGTTTTCATGTTGAATTAACTTTGTGTAAGGGCTCTTTTCAATACAAACCTATTGATCTATTGATGGCATACTCATTTGTCAGCGTGAATTGCAGAAGAGTTAGATTGTTATTATGATTAAAACTAAGTAGTGCCCACACGCATACAGCAGAAGTATCTCAAAATCGACTATTGACTAGCTGTTAATTACTAGAATTCTACGTACCCCATCCAATCATTTATCATCATAGTAGTAATAGTTAATAATGAAAAGAAGAAGTGGCAGAATTTTAGCTGTATATTAATTTGAATTTTTCATCTCATTCTAGTTATTGGCAAATCATCTCCGCTTGTTTTTTACCGTTTGGAGACTTGTAAATAGTAGTTTAATTATCATGGTTGTTTCTGTTTATTTCAACAACGTAATAAGAATGATCACGAAAATAACAATTATTGATTGGCAATGATTCATTCTCTAACGATAATTTTATAAATAGTTAACTGTACGTTAATTTCCATTTATCGTTCCCTTTTTCGTTTTCGTATCTAACACCGTAAACTAGCAGTTTCCCCTTCCCTCCTAGTGTGGTCAGACTGTTTCTATTGATTGGAATTTTCCTACTGACTAGTTCTATTCCTCCGTTTCTTGTTTATCCAATCCTATTGATTTCTTTTCATTGAATATAAGCAGCATTTATAAATAGATGTATGGTTGGCAAATTTATTTGAATGGAGAATGCGTGGGTGTTCGTCTGGAATCTAGACGTAGCCCTACTTTCTATTAAGTTCTTTCTTCTGTTGTTTTTCTATGTGAATACTTTTTTCAGGTGTTTTTCTTTTTCTTAAGAAAATTAGGATAGATTAAAATAGTCCAGCTAAGTGGGAAAAAAGTTATGTTGTTTATAAATGAGGGTTATGTTCAAACATATGTGTGATGCTCTTTTTTGATAACAAAATGACAAATTATAACTTTTTCACTCATTTCATGCATTGATCATATAGTTAGCTAATCGATGACTGTTGCCCCACGTTAGATAACTAAAGATTGAAGCTGTACATCTTATTCTTTTCTTTTGCGTTTATCCACGTTTATCATAGTTGGTTTTTAAAAATATTGTTGTACTAGATGGCTGTTCACTTTGATCATCTTTATTACTTCTGTTGATTATATTTGGTGCTTTTTCGAAACAGATTGTTTCACATCGATTAGAGTTACTTCTTTAGATGGCCACTGTGAATAGCGTTATCTTATTCGTATTTATAACGGTTGGATAGTATTTTTAATTTAAAGAATCAATAAAATTATTTGACCATAAGTGTGGTGTATGGTGGAAATCTCGATTGAACAATTTTAAAGCTACTTGTAGAGTTGTAAACAGCAGGATCATTTAGTCGATGAAGTTATGAACCAACACTGACAGAGATGCTTGGGTCTCGTTCTACATGTGGTAAATCACCATCAATGCCAGCTTCTGAAATTCGTAGGTTATTTTTGTTCAAGCGCGTGAAACTCCCCCCTTCAAAGTATATGCTTTTTCTTACTGTATTATATTTTTATTTTAGGTTGAAGTTAAACCATATGTCTTGGATAATCAAATGTGTGATGAATGTCAAGGTACTCGTTGTGGGGGTAAATTTGCCCCATTTTTTTGCGCTAATGTTACTTGCCTTCAATATTATTGTGAACAGTGTTGGGTACAGATACACAGTCGTTATGGTCGTGAATATCATAAACCTCTAGTCAAAGAAGGAGCTGAACGTCCTCGTCCTGCACTTTATCGATGGTAGACGCATACAAGTGTGTTATTATTTGCTAGCTTGTTCTATCTTTCAGCATGCTTGTTTCATACAAATTGGAAATGTTTCTTCTGATCTCGACCTCTTACTTTCATTGTCTTCAACCTGTCGTATTCTCTTGTTCTTGTTTCAATCATTTGATGCTCTCCTTTTTTTTTGGTTTTTCTCTTAGATATTTTGCTGGTTTAAATCCTTTTTATGTCAGCTATCCAACACCTATAATTATAATCAATCAATAAATTCCACTGACAAAAGTGGATTCATTTGATTAAAGAGTGACCACTGAGTTAAAACATTTTTGCGCAAGGCCTGTCTAAGTTGGTGTTTTTGAAAATCTTTTCCATTGAAATATCAGTCTGCTTTTTTGTTGCCATTTCCTAGTCTGTGATTTCTCATTTACTGAATGCTGATGATTTGTTCCTCAGTTAATTATATATATAAAAGCACTCATATAATATATCTTATAAACGACCTAAGTAAATGCAGAAGACACACAAATTGCATACTTTGGTACTATTATTTCTTGTTACTATTATTCTCATCACTAACTACTCATCCTTTTCATCAACTAGTTAGCTTGAAAAGTGTGTTTCCTCTTCTTACTGTTATATTTTTATCCCGTTGTTTACTTACTTGTTGAATTCCTAAGAATGTGAAATTGTTTTTTTTTAAACTGTGATTCATTCTTAGTTTAGTTTCCTCTTTTGAATTCTTATCTCTTTGTCTGTGGATAATTTTCTCTCATGTTAGTTCATTTCGTGTTTAATTGAATTGTGATCTTGTTTTTCTTTTTTAAGTTTTATTTGATATCTTTAAATTCTATTTACTTCTACTTGTCTGTTTTGTTAACTTTATTGTGTTACTCTTAGTAATAATAATAATGTAATATCCTTTTGTTTTGTTCATTTCTTTCATTAATCTACCTATCTAATTTTGTTTTCATGTTCTATTTGTGATCATTTGATGATTGTTTCTGTTGGTTATCCTTTTAGTTTGATTTGACGTTTTTTTATCTAGTTGATCAACGCATGTGTGGTACCTCGATCTCTCTTTATGCATTATATGTCATTATTATTTTTACCATTACTGTCCAATAAATGAGTTGGTATTGATGATAGTTAATTAGACCATCTTCAGTATATATATATATATATATATTTGTTTATAAAAAATCGACAATGTTATGTTTTACACTTTTAGCTTACTAATTATTAGAGGTGAATTTTCTTTTAGTCATTGAATAAACACCCATTTATGATGTATACTTATTTTTAGTTTTTAATTTCATTCTTTTCTATAAACATATTTATATAAATATTGTTATTTACATACATACATATTTACTATTCACATTATTTTAATTGTACTTGTTTTCTTTCTCTCATAAAGCAACATTTAAACAAAAATGATTAGCTAATACAAGTGCACTAGCACATTGCTTCACATACCAAAGATAGATATAACATCTACTTTTATACATCAATTCGGTAGTATGTGTCTTGTATATCTATCCTGAGTGATAGGATGCAAGCGATTAAAAGTAATATGGTTTACTCACTTTTAAAAGTTTTTTGTTAACTGATTTTTACTATTATTACTCAATTTCTTCTGTTGACAATGTCTTATATATATAAACTGAAGAAAACATTTTCTAGTTTCTGTTATAGATCTGACATTTCCTCTAATGGTGTAGCCTCTATCATATACTCCCCTCCAAACTACCATGTTTCCTTGTTATCTTTCTACTTGGTAATTGTCACTACCTTTTTCTTTCCTTTGTTTTGGTGCTTAAACACTGGGTGAAAATGTTTCGAGCCCTGGGGGGGGAGGGTGTGTATATGTGGGGTACTTTTTATTTTTGTAATGTTATTTTGTTGTTTGGTATTTTCCTTTGTTTATTTATTTTTCAATGTAACACTTTCTACAAAAACCCAACAAAAATTAGACAAAAAATCATATATTTTCTTACATTCTTTCATGTTGTTATTTAATATATTGTAGTTATGGTAGTACGTTCACGCAATATTGTTTTTATGTTTTTGTTCTCCATCTTATACGTTATGCAACAAACAAGCAAGCAAACCCTTTTTTATGGATTTTAACAATTCAACATTGCTTCTTATAATGTCATTTCATGCGGAATCAGTATGTGTATATTTTTAATTCTCAATCTGGTGAGTACATCTCTACGTATACGTTGAATGTATACATTCGAACGTGATTCACAATGCATTTCCACTATTTATATCATTGAGTAACACAGAGTGATGAAACGTGCGAAATATAAATATTTTATGTATGTTACACCGACAACTTTCATTCATCTCTTTTGTGTCGTGTACTTATGCCTATACTATCTGTATGAATTAGTATATCTCTTTGTTTTGAGTCGCAGATTTTCATACTTCTCTCCTTGTTTTCAAGTCGTGGTTTATTTTGTAAACGTGCATGTTTGTAATTTTTTTAATTATTGCGCTGGCTCGTGATGCATTCATGCTGCAGATAATTTTCATTGCTATCTACTTGATCCATTAATTCGTTTACTTAATAATAATAGTATTCTGTGATGGTTCGCTTTCCACGCACAAGCCATATTCAGGGCGCTTCCAGATTGTGATGTTTTGTTAAAGTGAAGTGTGGCAAATGAGTGGAGAGTTAGTATGTATGTGTTTTAAAACATTTTTCACTCATACTTTTTTTTGCTTATCAATTACATCTGCTCAATCAAATAGTTTGCTCGTAAAAGTTTGTTGTAAATGATGCTTCAAAGGCATTCTGTAACTCGCGTTTCTACTGATCTCGGCTCTTGTGCGTACTTATGTTGTTTTTTTTAAAAAAATTTTTACCATTGGTTACCTTTTCAAAATAAAATCTAGTTATTTGACTTGCTTTTTTTCTCTTTCTATTCTGTAGTTTTCTTTATTTTCAATGATTTCGTTTGTTAGACGACATTTTGGTCATAAATCTTAGTCATTGGTTTTATGGTGCTTCCTCTATCACCTCAAAGTAAATTTTCTTATTGAAATTTCATGGTATCTACTATCCCATATAAAAGGACTTACTATTAATTACTGCGAAAAAAAAACATTTCTCTTAATTACATTTTTTATTTCAGTTCGTTTTCCCAGTTAGATTAAAATGTACTCTGTTCTACTTTTCTTTATATCGATAATATTTATGTATGATGCTTAAAACAATCCTACTCATTTGTACTGAATTCGATATCACAGCTGACATCAGATTGAGTTTTTTTTTATATCTCTGGAAACAAAATAAAAATGCTTTTATAGGACAGAAAATTCTTTCAGTTCTGGTTACTATACATATTGTTACTCATTTTCTGGTATGTTGTTTACTGTTTTTTATTTGGAAAGAAAACAAATTATTCGAACAGCAAGTGAAAAAAAATCGATTTTTCACATTAATATATTTAATAAAAAAAAGTTAACAAAAAATCATTGTTGCTGTTTGGCCATAAAACATGTATCTGATAAAATAAATATTTTCATAGTGTTTTTATTTGTTGCATCTTTTTACTACCGTTATTTATCAAAATATTTTATTAGATTTCTCATTTGTTTATATATATATATATATATATATATATATATATATATATATATGTATATATATATGTATATATATAACTTATTATTTACCCCTTGTATTATCTACATTCTTACAAACAAAGTTTTATATATAAACAGAAAATAACTGTCTAAAAGTAATCCGAATTTTTATCGTTTTTTTTGCTTCATTTTGTTACTTTAAAATAAAACAAGAAAGTATGTTAGATATTTCCATGGATCCGTATTTTTGGGTGTCCCTCTTTTGTGGCTTTCCTTTAGGATGTTATTTATTTTGTGTTGTGGTTCCTTTCTTTTCACTCTTCTGTTTAGATATTAGTCTTTTGTTTAGTTTTACTGTTCAACTTTGTTTTTCAGTGTGAAATGTGATTTCTTCTTTTGTTAATATACTCTTTTATTGTGATTTGATAATTATGAAACAATTTTCATCATTTCCATCTAACTATAGCTCATTTAATAATCAGATTGAGGTATGTACCAACTTTTAAACAGCTTCTTGTGTTAGTGTTCGGTTACTACATGCATATATGAGTACCTATGCTTGGAGTGCAGAAGACCTATTTAGCCAATGTTGTACCTTCTATATTTTAACCTTTGTTACTCCTATTTATCTTGAGATACTAATAAAGAGGTTTTCAATTTATTGATCTACCTTAATAATCTATCTGTCAAATTTCTCACTTATGTGCAATAGCCAGTTTTTTTCGTTTGGTTATTTTTTTGTTTTGTTTGGTTTTTTATACCAATGAATTTAAGCCAATTTTTATTTTTAGCCGTCACTGCCTATTTATTCTTTATTAATTAATTAACACCGATTACGTGCGCGGTTTCTTTCGTTTTTGGTCTTGTTTTTTTCTATGGATTTTTCATCTGTTTCAGTCACTCTACTCAGCTATTTTTATATCAGTTGATTTACTATACATACACATATAAGACAAAAAAATACATATTTTTCTTTATTACTAATAGTGTAAGTACTACTACTACTACTACTAATCTCGTTGTTATTCTAATTACCATTCGTGAACATCGTCACAAATGTTCGTAGTCTGCATTCGGGCGTTCCTAGGTCATATTTGTAACTGTTGTCGTTCTTATTCCAATTTATTTATTTATTTATTTGATTTCCTCTTCTAGTTTTGACTGACTATCCTCTTTTCGGTTTTGTTTCTTTGTTGCTGTCCTTCCTGACATCACTTATTGTTGTTGTTTCTTCAATCTTTCAGTCATAGTTGCTCACCGTGTTTCAGATGCACATTTTGTTTACATTTTTATTTTAAACTTTTGTGCTATAGAAAAATCTTGTTTTCATTCTCATTGAATCTTTAAATTGTTTGTCTGCTGGTATTTTGTTTTGACTTGCTTACTGGTTCTGTTTGTCATCAATTGTTATGTTTAGTATTG